CCCCAAAACCCCAAAACCCCAAAACCCCAATTCGGGACGACTTGGTTGAACCCGACCTGGACTATCAATTTATCCGCATTTTGATGGATCTTTCCTAAAACTTTGTTGATTCCTTTCAACTTGACCTCTGCTTTGGTGTAATATGCCACTCTGTTCTCCTTCTTGGCGAAATAGATATTTAGACCTATATAATGTGAGAAATTTGTAAGAAAATTAACTTACATGCATATCTGAAGAAGGCATACAGGTTCATGAGATGCTTCAACTGAATACTTCAGTTATCAACAGCTTTGCTGTATTCGCTAGATATTTCATTACAGTCTATTCCTTCTAGGAAGTCCTTTAGCTTTTGGAACTTCTGTGCTTCATCTTCATGAAGTTCAAGGCAATTGGATTTTCATTGCTCGTCAAGGAACTCAAAGATATCTTTATGAGAGGAGATAAGTTTCTCAATAGGACTCTGGGAAGGTCTGGGTTTTGGGCTCTTTACTACAATCTTCCCGCTCTCATCCTCATCTTCAAATAAGTTCTCTGTGGATAAGCTAAAATTGTAGCTTTGTTTGATAGCCTGAGAAATGGGTTCATGATCAAGGAAGCTCTCTGATCCAAACCCTTTATGCAAATGGTACTTCTTTTTGTTTCTCACTTTGGACTTGTATTTAATAATATTTTGGATTTCGTTCAGAATATATGTTGATCAAGCTGGTTCTCTTACATGCCAATATCCATGCTTATCTTTAAGAAACAATCCTTGGACATATAGAGACCCTCTGACAGCTTTGTTCATGTCTTTGTTATACGCAGCACCATTCAGCCTCCTGAGGGTAGAATATACAGGCTCGATCAGTGCAAAAAGTTGTTTTTCAGATAAAGGGCCGCAGCTGTAAATTTTCTGGATAATGAAGCCAGGAAGACTACTGAAGAATATTTCTTCAGGGCTTCTCAAAGCAAAATAGGTTTGATTGAAGTTATTACTGTTGCCCTTACCAATGGCTGTATAACTTCCTGCTGGGGTGATGGTGTTTTCTGGACTAGGCTTGAAAGTTGATAAAGTGTGGGTTGGCACTATTTTTACCAAATCCTCTGGAATTGTGAAACAGCGGGAGAAGATAGATTTTGTGAAGGTTTTAGAGATATAGTAGTCTTCTGTTGTGTAGGATTTACCTCTTATATTGGAAGCATCAGTTTTATTTTTGGTGTCTTTAGAAGATTCTTCCTTTTTTGTTCCTTTGTCAGTACTTATCTCCTCTGGAATTGGAAGGAAAGTATAATTTCAGAACATATCTCTGATTTTGTCTCAACTCTCTGATTCCAGATGTGGTCTTGGGGAAGGTTTACTATCATATGATGGTCTTTCATCAAATAATTGGTCTGAGTCCTGGGTTTCCAAATTTGAAATATCATACTCTCCCTCCAACTCCTGACTACTTTCAGCTTTCATACCTCTCCCATCACCCAAAACCCCATACCATCACCTACGACTCAAAAAATTCGCCCACTTAAACAGCCCCAAAAGTCTCCAAATCCCCAAAAGACCCCCTCAAATTCCAAAAATCCTTCACAAAAAATTCAAAATTTCATTGAAATCCCAACATTTTTTTAATTTCTAAAATTTCTTAAAAGGGGTTTTGGGGTTTTGGGGTTTTGGGG